TCTTGGATTTATGTTAACTAATATATGGCATGAACTAACACATGCGGATATGGGTTGTAACACAAACAATTGGCAAAACCCCTGTTGAGGAAATTATATTCAAGAAGAAGAAAGAAAAAAAGAATACAAAAGAAAATCACCAGGCAGAACGAATATTTATAGGAGATCAATGTCATCTAAAGGCAATAAAATTACCTTAAAAACCTCAACATTAACAATCTCTAACTTCTGAATCAACCTCGCATATTTATCGAATAACCTGTGTTGTATTTATGTTCAGCTTGACAGAATTCATTACCATGATCATCAGCATATCCAAGTATGACCAGTATTTACCTCAGGAGGCTAAGTGATGATCCTGTTTAAGAGCGATTTCTTGAATGACCAGGTTTAGCAATCCGGCTAGGTAATTGGCTATCTTCGTCAATAAAATCAGCATGAAGATCTTCATTTTCATCTTCAGATAAAGAAGCATTCCCCTTGACTTGATTTACGTCACTGTTTGTCAAAGAAGAACTCTTATCAAAAGAATCTTCATTGGAGTTTCCACTTTCTTGCGTTGCAGATCCATTAAGCAAACAAGAGTCCAAGTATTCCTTCGAACTACCATTTAGTTTTGGCAGAAATGGGTTTCCACCCTTAAGCCAACTTGAAAATCCATTCCTCTTCGAGTCAGTTTGTATAAGATGTACAGATTTACGTGGCAGTCGAGCATCGGGAGAGGTTTCAGATGAAACTATCAAAGCTGCTCCATCACCAACCAGCCCAGCAAAGCTTACAACTTCTGTCGTCACCGATGGCAATATCAGCCAATTCTCCTTTTCCAGCACCATCTTGAGAGCCTGTATTAGAAAAGATATTTAATATCTTATCATGCAGAGGGTGCAAAAACACAAACAGGATAACTCTAATGAAGGGTCTTTATGTAGGGTCCCTAAATAAAAATAACAAATGAAAAAGAGAAAAGAAAAGTGATTGGATAAGAGAAATGCAAAGGTAGGCGCCTACATTTCTGATGCAATTTGCAAATCCGCAAGTTGTCAAAGCATGCCATGATTGACTGAAAACAAACTTTCAAAGCATGTCATGATTTACTGAAAACAAGGAAATTTTTCCTATAAATAGCAGCCTCGTTTCTTCATTTGAATCACACCAAAAAACGAGAGAAGCATAAATCAGTGAGAGTAATCCACAGATTGTGGTCTGTGAGATAACTAGTGAGTTGTAGTAATATTGTAGTGAGGTGTTTTAAATGAAGAGTGTTATTTCTTTCTAAGTTGTAGTAGTCTCTTCACACTACTGAGTTGTAATATTATAGTGGTAATATTGCTCCACTCGGATATTGTATTTT